TACACACACACACACACACACACACACACAGAAATATTCAGTACATATATATTATATATTTATAAATATCTCTGTGTTATATTTAATTATTATAATTATGATAATTATTTATATAAATAATTCGATTAATTATATAAATTTTCTATTGTCCAAATTATTTTATGTGGATTAAGAATATTTAAAAATAAATTACATGAAATAAATAATAAAATCGTTATTTTAAAAATTAGATGCAGAAGCAAAATCTAGAAGTATAAGATTCCTCGATTATAACTTCAAACTTATAGATAACAAAGGAACACACAAATAGAGCAATAACAAAACTTATATATAATTTGAAAATTGTATTATTTGTGACAATAGAGAATAAAAGGTATATCATTTAACATGTTACAATGTTATCGGCAATTCTCAAAGCAATATACTAATTGTAGAGTATAATGTATTGAATGATCTGGTGCAATATGCAAGTATAATTCTTCTAAGTTATTATATTATATGTGTGCAAATATTGTATACTTAAAAAATGAATGCTTTTGCTAGAAATTATAATGCGATTGATATATGTGCGATGTGACTTGTCTTTTATAAAAACCTGAATTTTTATTTGAAATCTCAGTCTCATGATATTAATAAAAAGTTAAAGTTCATATAACATTTAATTAAAAATATATGTCATATCAGAAAAATAATATGTCTATTTGCTATCTATTCCGATAATGATCTGAAAGAAATGGATTTGTTACGTTATTTTGTATTTTTTGTATTTTTTGTTTTTACTGTTTCTCTTTACTGTTTCTCAAGAAAACATTCTTGATTTTACAAGCTTTTATAGTAAATGAAATATTTCCTAAACAATTTTATATTTGTTTTGTTAAATATTTGAAAAAATTCGTAATTATTAAAAATTAATTATAAAAATATAATCAAATCAAACTTGTTATTGGAAGCAACGAATAATTTTAAGAACCAAGGATGAACGCATAAGTGAAGAATAAAAACAAAGATCGCTTATTAAATTATTGAGACGAATATCGAGACATTTCGCCTTCACTGAATTCTTTCCAGTCGAAAATAAATATAAGTTTAATTTTATCTAATTAATATAAATAACAGATTCCTATCGAATCAAGTCTAAATATAAATAATAAATAAAGACATAAAAATTTAACACATAACAATAAACAACAATAGAATAAATATATAATAATGATCAAAGTAAATAAAAAAATTAAAAAAAGAAGACAAAGTCGCCACGATCCTGATTGACAATGGATTTACACATGGATTGATATCAACATATGACACTCGATGTCCAATAAAAGAGCTTGTTTAATTAAAGTTCTTAGAAAACAAATTTTTGTTATTGAATATCAATTTTTGTTATTGTTATATGGCAATATGTATTAATAATATGAAGTAAATCTCTCTAAGTAAATCTTCTTTTCGCACATGCTTATGCGAGAGCAGCATCAAAATATTAAGTATGAATTTAAGAGTTCTATTTTATATAAAAGTTATATGAAAATTTTTCAGAAAATCAATTCAGTGACGTTTAAAGCAATATTTGAAAGACTATTCCGTAGATAGTCTAGATAATAGTCTTTTAGATACGGATATTGTTTGGATTTTTCTTTAAACATTTTATTATATTTAGAAATTAAATACAATTATTGTATAAATACAATAGAAACATACACTATAAATAGTACACATAAACTTTTTTAAATTTGTATATATTATCAATTATTTTTGTGAAAAGAAATCTTTATTTATAATTTATTTTTATGATAGTTAAAGCTATATATATAAATTTTAAATATAATTATAGATTTGTACTCTATATGCATATGAGATAGACAAATGCATCTAAGTTTAACTATGGCAAAATTTTATTTAATCTCATATATAAAGTTCTATTTAATCTCTTAAATATTCCGTTCCATTTTTAATCGCATAAACAATACAACGAAAAAAAAGATCTCAAGTAAAACGTAAGAGATATATTACGTTAAATTAATTATTTATGTGAAGTTCTAATTAGAATCGCGTCTGCGTGTGAAATCCTCCAAATTTTCATTAATTCCGCCATACATTTGCGATCTCATTTGGAACGGGCTTGATTCATCCTGCAAATAATAAAAATATGTCATCAGATTAGAAACAAAAGAATTTTTTTTAAATAAGATGTTAAAACATACAACAAGATTTAACATGTTATGAAATTATTTATGGATAGTATTTATAATCAATTCAGTCTTATTTAAGATGATCTTAAGATTACATTTCAATCAATAATAAGATGGTCGTATAAGTTTACTTAAAACGATCTTAAATATAAAAAACGGCCTACGAATATCGGCCTATATGAATGTTTAAAACTTTTTACATTTTCATTTAATTATACGAAGGGAATAAACAAAATCAATAAGCGATTTAAAATTAATTATAATGATAATCGGTGAAACAGGATTCCATATTTTATGTAAAAAAGACAAATATATTACATACAAGCATATAATAACATAGTGCTTAAGCAATAGGTTTGTTATCTGAAAAATCCGTTGAAATTATAATACCGCGAAATAAAAATACAAAAGTGATACGTATTAAGCGATTTGCGATAGCACAATTTGAAGCAACAGGTACTAATATTGCAAAATGTTGGCATCATTTATCTACTCCGAGATCGATTAAAATTAAAGCAACTTTGATTTATTTTATGCAAAAGTCGCTATGGTTTCTCTCTCTCTCTCTCTTCTCTCTCTCTTCTCTCTCTCTCTCTCTCTCTCTCTCTCTCTCTCTTCTCCTCTCCCTTCTTCTCTTTTCCCTCTTTTTTCTCTTTCCCTATTTTTATACATTTTCGATATTTATTTTAATACACATACAAAAGTTAGAGTTACAAAATAAAAGAAATATTTTTATTTTGATGTTTATATCGACTGTTTGTTTGAGCTTCATGTTTCAAAAATATATATATATTCCATGCAACTAGAT